TCCGGGCACCCCCGGAGGGCCCTCGGGGCGCGGCTGCTGCTGGAGGGCGTCCCGAGGCCGGAAGGCCGCCGAGAGCCGACGCTGCCCCCCCTCTGTGGGAACCCATGGCAACCTCCCATGCCACCTCGTTTGCTCTTGCGAATCGGCGCTACTCGACGCTACATCGACGCTAAGTCGACGCTAATCGACGCTAAGTCGACGCTACATCGACGCTACATCGACGCTACATCGACGCTACATCGACGCTAATCGACGCCACATCGACGCTAAATCGACGCTGATCGACGCGCTAGACCGGCGCGTCCTCAGTGATAACTGGACGCCAGCACACGCGGATGTACTCACTCTACAGACGGAATGACGAGGACACGCAAGGCTCCCATGACTTGCTACCGAACGCTGCTCCTGATCTCATCAGCCATGAACGCACCCCCTGACCCTGTGGGAGGGGACCCAAGTTGGGAAGGCCCAAAACCATTAAGGATAAAGGGGTCTCTTGTGCAGATCCCGGACCTCTCCCGGGGTGCGTTCTGACCAGGATTTCGAGGCGAATCCAGCGGTGGCGATGAGGGCCTCCCAGGAGGCCCACAAAGGGGATAACGGCCGAAGGGTAGAGGTATGGGCAGCGCTTCCTCCCCTGATCATCGTGTTATTAGAGGCTAGGGGCTCTTTTGTTCTCAATGACGATCCTGCTCCTCGCCGCCGCCTCCGCTGGCGAGGCGACGGCGAGGACGGCGAGGACGGCGGCGGCCGCGCGGCCGCGCGGCGCCAGCGGTGCGAGGGCCAGGCGCGGGCGGTGGCGAGCGAGCGGAGCGCGGGGGCCTCGCCCTCTGGGGCCGCCGCGTCGCCGCCGGGCTGCTTCCGCTTCCTGGCGGCCCTGCGGTCCTTCAGCACCTGCGCCGCGGGGGCAGCCAGCCTTCACGACGGGTGCAGCGCTCCCATGGGCAGTGGAAGCTCGAGCGCGCTTCCCCAGCGAGGCTGCTGAGCGGAGTAGGCGAGTGAAGCCCGAGCTTGTACGTTATCTGCCACCGGCTCGTGCAGCCGAGCGCACTGGAAGAACACACCATCCCAACATCATCAGCGTCACCAAAGAAGAAGAAGAAGAACAACAACAACAACAACAACAGCAACAGCAACAGCAACAGCAACAGCAACAGCAACAGCAACAGCAATAACAACAACAACAACAACAACAACAACAACAACAACAACAACAACAACAACAACAGACAACAAGTTCAAGCTCTACCAAATATCCAAACGACTCTTCGCGACCACCCAAACCCAGCTTCCCGCCCTATGACGTTGGGACACTTCACTTCGTGGCGTGCGGACGACCGTGGCTACTCACTGGCGTGGGGTACCACACCCACAGAACTTGGTGCAACTTATTCGGGGCGCGCGTGTGCCCAGCATCCTGCAATTCGTGACATACATACATGACACAGACAGACAGATGAGAGAGACAGAGTGCAGACAGAGAGAGAGACAGAGAGAGCGGAGTTGGTCACATTTTTGGGGCAAGTTCCTGAGATCGTCGTGTTTTTTGTTGGTCTTGCGCGCGCGAATGTCCACTTTACATTTTTTTGCAAGGGAGTATTGAAATTTGATTATGTTAGAACAAGAAAAAGTAGCTCGCGCGAGCTAATGTAACAGAAATGTTGAAAAACCATTGGTTTTGTGGGAGTCGGACAGCGCGCGCGGGATGAAATTTGGACATTTGTTTTTGAAAAACCATTGGGTTTTTGATGTTTTTATGTTGAAATCGTTACGAAAACTAAGGTTCTGGAAGGATTTCGTCTTGCGCGCGCGAATGTCCACTTTACCTTATTTTTTGCAAGGGATTATTGAAATTTGATTATGTTAGAACAAGAAAAAGTAGCTCGCGCGAGCTCATGTAACATAAATGTTGAAAAACCACTGGTTTTGTGGGATTCGGACAGCGCGCGCGGGATGAAATTTTGACAATTTTGTCTTAAAAAACCATTGGGTTTTTGATGTTTTTATGTTAAAATCGCTACGAAACCTAAGGTTTTGGAAGGATTTCGTCTTGCGAGCGCGAATGTCCACTTTACCTTATTTTTTGCTAGGGATTCTTGAAATTTGATCAAGTAAGAACAAGAATTTTCATATTAGAGTGTTTTTTGCAAGGGAAAACAGATACAAAAAACAAACCGATCCGGGACCAACAAAAACTTTTTCTGAAGCTTTCGCGAAAAAATGATGAAAATGTAGCTGCGGCCTAGGTTTTGGAGGGGGGTCGCGCACCAGGGGTCTCAACAATAATATTTCTTTAGAAGTAATAATATTCAACAACAACAACAACAACAACAACAACGGGCGACATCTGTCGCAACAGCCTACAGTAATCTCAGACTTGAATCTCCCAGCATGGCCTGATGTTTCCTCTTCTGTACGAAATTGGAGGCCCGAAATGGGCACGGACGAAATCGAACAAAGTCCAAGAACAAAGGTTGTCAAAAACCAACAGCGGCCGCCGTTGGGCAGGCGGCTTGTTGTCTTCAAGGAACAACGTCCGCGGCGGCGCGGACAGCGAGTCCTTTTCAAAATGAGCAGGAATTGCTGTTGGGCATTATATCAATGCTTCCCGTACCCGCTTGAACGGTCCCGAACAAGAGCGAATCGGACAAGAGCCACATTTTTTCGACCCACGCCGGTAAGAACGCGACTCATTCCGAACGCAGCCGGAGGGTGGAGGCCGTTCCAGGAGAAACCTTCCACAAGAAACCCACCCCTCGTTCATTTTTGGGGTGGGAACGTCACGCTTTCCACAGCAAAACCATCGAAGCCCAAGAAACCCAGGGCGCCCTGGAGGCAAGCATGGTGTTTCTTGGTATGGGCCTCCGCTGTATATCGAGGAGGCGACTCGAAGGCCCAGGCTTTCACCCCAGGCCCAGGCTTTCACCCCACTTCGGTCTCCGCGGGCCCACTTCGGGCCCGCGAAGGTGGCCCAGGGAAGGATCCCGAGAAGCAGATTGGAGCGGATCTGGGCGTCGGGATTTAGGAACAAGGAAAGGCGACACCGACACCACCAAGGCGAGGAGATGCGAGCAGCAAGGGGGGGTCTCCCTGGTGGCGTGGCCCCCCCCTCTCGCTCGAGACATCCCCAGCCTCCAGCTCGGGCTGGAGGAGGCCCCCCTGGTGGTGTTGGTGTCGCTTCTCCTCCATCCGAGGGATGGGGCATTATCCCTCTTCATTCCCTGATCTTCCAGGAGGGCTAAAAAGTGGCACCAGGACAGCTTCTAGATTCCTGTCGAGGTTTTGGGCGATCCAGATAGGTCCATAGGCCCCGAGTAGTGACAGACCCTGCTTTGACCTCGGAATCAGCCAACAAGACTTCACCGCACGGTCCGTCGTCGCACGGTCTAGGACCACGGAGGCCCCAGCCACCCGAGACATCATCGGAGAACGATCCTAGGCGTAGGTCGGGCATGTCCTCCTACAGGCGGATTTTGGAAGAAAAATGACAAATCGCCAACACGTCCAACAATAATCAATAGAAAAGTCATTTCCAAACTAGGTTTGACTATTTTTGAGCATTCCTTCTGTAGAGGGACATGCCCGACATAATCCTAGTCCCAAAACCGTCCGGTCACCCTGAAGCCCCACTGACTCACCACACGGTGTGGTCACTGCACCGTCTGGGGGCCCCCGACTCAGGAAGGCCGGCTACTGGGGCCAGAGGCAGCGGGGTCGGAGGATCGCCCCGCCTTGCCTGTGCATCGGCGTTGCATCGGCAACATCGGCGCGTCGAGCCGCGGGCGGACCCACATCGCCGATGCAGCGGCGGCGCGGCGCGATCCTCCGAACCCATCGGATCCAATTGGGCGGCAACGATCATCCAGGGGCGGACGCCGGTTTGCGGCCGCGGGGCACCGCGGCAGTAGATATTATGTCGTGATAGGTTTTGAATGCCTCGGGTTGTCTCCATACTTGTGGCTCCCACGGGGAGCTCCAGAAAGCGCTGTGGGTCTCACGTGACCCAGGAAACGTCGATCCGATCATCACCATCATCATCATCATCATCATCATCATCATCATCATCATCATCATCATCATCCTCATCATCCTCAGCAGCATCAGCAGCATCAGCATCATCGTCATCGTCGTCGTCGTCATCATCAGCATCATCCTCATCCTCATCCTCATCCTCCTTCTCTTCATGCTTCCTCCTACCGACTCGATTTCTTCTTCCGACGCCTCCTCCAATACAGACCTGTTATGCTGTTATGGAGAGTCTCTGGACGACCACCTCCACCTACAGAGAATCAGAAGGATCCATGCCTCGCTGGCGCCCTCGGAATGAAAAAGCTGGGTCATCACAGACCCGAGATGGCCCAAGCCGTGCACATGTGCGCGCGCCATGGTGAAAGACTACATGCGAATCGCATCTATTCCCCATCGCGCGAGCCGCGGACAAGGGCGCTGACCAAAGCCCACAAATTTCGACCGCGGCTGGTTACTGAGCGTTCGAATCCGCACTGGCATGAGCATTCGTACGCAAGTTGCCCTTAGCCCGCGCCATCAAGACCCTGCATGTTGGAAATGAGGTTGAGGTCCGAACAACCTTCCGTGCGCCTCCGCGACTGGAGATTATTCTGATGACTACGGAGCCCGTCCGAATCTTGGGAGGACGTGACTGATCCTGGGGAACCCCCATTACCACCAGGAAGTTGCGATGGTGATGGTCGCGCCTGTCCTGAGAGACCATTGCTGCTACGCCCCAGACCACGACCACCGAAATCCGACTGGCAAAAAAACTTAGCCTCTAAGCCTCCTCTCCACCAAATAAGATGGAAGATCGCTGCTCGACTGCAGCCAAAAACGGACAAATACGAGCAACCGCGCTGTGCAGCATTGCCGCCGCAGAAGTCCATTCAAGGCACGCCGACGATAGCACAGCAAGCGAAACCGCGGTCCCGATGGATGGACGGCATAGACCTGTCACATTCTACCCCATTGCCAAGCCAGAAGGACAT